TAGGCAAGAGGCCATTTTGGACGAATAGGTCAGCGTGCAAGTCCCCCCTTCTCATTGGGGATTTAGGCTTCTTAGATCTTATCAAGTTTTGACGGGGGTTGGGTTACTCCCAAATTATTTCTTCTCTTTGGTTTTATTTGTGTATTTTTTTTTCTCTTCGATGTTATCTGCAGACTGCAAGGCTAACACCCTCTCATAGTGTGAAACGGGGTCGTTAGAATGAAATAGAGCCCGGAAACAGAATCTCTTGACTTCAAGTGGACGAGCGGTTTTAGTAACTCTGAAGCTAGAAATAAGGTTTCCTTAAGACCTGTCTTCAAACTTAAAACAATAGTCTGCCGTGTAGAGATGCCCATGGTTGGACCATTCGTCAGTGGTAGAGCATAGGAGCCCCTGGAGTTTATCCCACCAATAAGAGAAAAGGAAAAGGGGGAACCACTCGTGACGATTTTGTGAGTGCCTTCTGGGCTTTGCCCATCTCTGACTCCTCTCTCTCTACCTGTGCCTGTAGAATGCTGGCAGTACCATGCCCAGGAAAGCCACGCCCCCTGGGATTTTTGCACTTTATGGGTAACTTGCTCCCAGCTACATAGGTCCTCTGATGTCAGGTTTGCTTAACAGCTGGCTTTTAGACCTCCAAGAGGTCCTCTGTAGCTTGTTGAGGTCCATGACCAAAGAAACTCGACCCCGAGCATCCCTGGGTAAGGCCTTCTGTGACTAGGACTTTTTTTCTAATTCTCCAACCAACTTGTTCACTTCATCTTTCTTTGCTCACCCCTGCATGGAATTGCACCCAGGATAGACGCTTCCACCCCACCCTATCCCTCCCACCCCCATGAAACCACCCGATCATCCTGAAGCTCCACTGGAAGGGGCCCGCCAGGCTCTCCAGACATCTATGACAACAGCAGACGCTGCGCCAGCAGCACACACACGAGCTGTCTCCAAAGCAGAGCCTTGCCAGCGACTCGGTGGGGAAAGAGCTGCCTGGAGAAGGCTAATCATTCCCAGTCAGGCTGGCTGCAGCCCACTGCGGCTGCGCAGAAGCAGCCGCTGGGCCATTGTTTCCCTCAAGCCCAGGCCCAGACTCGGTGCTCAGCTAGCGGTCAGAATTAGCGTTTCAAGGGTCCACTCCTTAAAGGAGTGGCCTTGTGTCCAATATCTTGATAAATCACCCAGAAACCTGCAGCAGGAAGTGATGATCTTCAGGGAGAGTCTTGATGGTTTTCGTCTTTTCTTTTCAGATTATGCACGTGACCAAGATAAAATACCTTACAGAGTATGGTTTCCATAAATTACATGGCTCTGAAATGCCCATTTCGTATCCGGACAGGCCTGTCTTTCAGCCAAGGGCGCTTTTACATGGGAGCTTCACTAGGTAACTCCGTCCTCTTTCATCCACACTTAGTTCCACTGGTTTGTCTTTTATTACTGTTAGCATGGCTTTGGAGTCCAGGAGATGAACACATTGGCATTTTGGTTCATTCGTTCATTCATTTCAAAAGGACACTGATGCTTTTGTGATGTAAAGATGTTCCCCAGGCAGCAATGGCAGCTTTTGCCGGAAGAGCGGATTTAACAACAAATTCATTATTCTTGCAGAATTTTTCTGGTGCCAGGAAAGCAAAGTGAGCTGAGCCTCATAGACATGGCAGGGGGGTGGGGACCTCCGTGCCCATGGGAATTCAAGCGGTAGAAAAAGGACTCCAGACCCTCCTGGGTTTACTGCAACCAAGGGAAAACACCTCATGCCACAAACTAGCAAATTAACTCCTTCTCCTGTCAAGTGTGATACCAGAAGAATGGAAAAGGGTCAAGTTCATTGTCACCGTTCATGCCTAACTCAGAAATGAGGGAGCTGAAATAGATTCTGTCACGATGTTAGAACTGCGAGAGTCCATAGAAACTGCGAAGCTAAACCCCCTATCTTTCCTTATACTTTCCTAGTGGCTCTGGAGTGCCACAGGTGTCTATCGGGCAGTCTGCAGCAGGTTGCCAGGGTTTTGCCTTTGTTTTTTTAGGTGAAGAAGAAGATTTTCCTCACCTTTCTGAGATTCATGGCTGACAGCCTCATAGCCAAAGACATATTAACAAGAGAAAAGCGTAAGAAATCCATTCCATCAGGTTTTGTTTATTTACTTTTATGTGTGGGTGTTTTGCCTGCGTGCACGTCTGTGCAGTGTGTATGCCTGGAAGTCAGAAGGACAGAGGGTAGAAAAGCCTCTAAAACTAGAGTTATGGAGGGTCACGAGCAGGCATGTGTGTACTGAGAATCAAACCCAGGTCCTCCAGAAGTCAGTGCTCCTAACAGCTGAGTCTCCAATTAACCCATGTTGTAGGACATAGGCGACTTCACAACTGCATACCTGAAGACCTAAAGAAAACTCTGTACTCATGATAGGTCTGATGAGAACTGGGCAGTCATGCAGATGGACTAGACACAAAGGGAACATGACCTAGTGGTGTCAATGGGGAGACACTACCAAGGCCTGCTAGCTCCCGTTCTGCGTGGCTGACCCCACGCATTCTGAAGGCTGCCTGGCACACAAAGAGGTAGGAGATCTCAGACACTTGTCCTCCTCTGTGCTTCTTGCCAGACTTCAGCTTAAGACATGGTACGCTGTGGGGCCATCCTGGGGGGCCTAGAATTTCCTCGACCCCAGCCAGTTATACCACCAAGTGTTGTTTGGTCCTGATTCTGTCATTAGGACCACGGTACAAGTGATTTTCTTAATGCAGAGGACTTCAAATATCTAGAGATAACTACCGCAATCCTGTTCAGTCCTTTTACTTTCTAGGTCCTGGTTGGAAATCCTTCAGGCTCTCCTCCCCTGGTATGGCCCTCGTGGGCTTCATGTTTTAATCATATCTACTAAACCCACGGCAGTGGGCCCACATCTTTAAGACACGGTACCTGGAACTGCGGACTTGCGAATGTTCCTCGGAACGCTCTTCTGTGCAGCAAGCTCCCCAGCACACAGCACAAACAGGGCGGCATTGTTTACGTCTTCTTCAATATTATCATCCGTCGTCTTTGTAAACATACATGGGAATTTTCTTGTCCTATTTGAGCGACACAAAATTAATTGTAAGAGCACCAAGGAAATGATCCCAGTTTCTCTCACTGTACCCCCCTGTGGTCATCGACTCTGGGAGTCTATGACAAACTACCTAATGCAAATCAACTTACAAGCAGCCAAGTTTCACTTTGGCTCATGGCCACAGAGATTCCATGGTTGTTTGGCCCCTTTTCTTTGGGTCTTTGGCAGCACGGTATGACATGGTGTTAGGTAAAGTGGAAGACAATCGCTCATTTATAGTGACCAGGAAAGAAAGACAGTGGAGGCCTGTATGTCCCCAGTGTCCTAACTCTTCATATTAGGCCCCTCCTCTCAAGGTTCCTTTGCTTCCCAGTAGCTCCTCAGACTGGCAATTAACCCTTTAATAGACAACCTTTGGGGAATACTTAAGATCCAAACCCTAACATGCCCCCCCCACTCCAAATCTCTTTCCAGTGCTGGGTATTAACCTAGGGTTTACACACTGAGTAACCTCTCTAGCCTTCTTCTTGCTTTCCTCATTTTAAGATAGGACCTTACTGAGTCTCCCATGCTGACCTTGAACTTACTCATAGCCCAAAGGGGCCTTGAACTTGCCATTTTCTTGTCTCAATCTCCCGAAAAACTAGGGTATAGGTTAGTGTCACCTAGCCTAGCTTACATGTGCCTCTGACATCAAGCAGCTACTGGAGATACTGTCACATCAGTTCCCAAGATTTCCTCCCTTTGCTGTTTTCCTTGTACTTCCCATGGCTTCCTCGGGCTTGCTATAGAGTTTGCTATAACAGGTCACGGCTTACTAGTTAGATCTCCGAACCAATGCTTTTGGATGTGTGTGTGTGTGTGTGTGTGTGTGTGTGTGCATGCATGTGTTCGTGCAGGTGTGCGTGTATGTGTGTTTACATGTTCATGTATTATAAGCATGTACACATGCAGTTGTATGCTTGCCCATATATGTGCTTGCACATGGAGCCCAGAAACCAATGCTGGGTGTCTTCCTTAATGTTTTCTTTTTGAGAGGAGTCTCTCACTGGTCCTAGAGCTCGCCAGACCAGCTAGGTTGGCTAACCAGCAGGCCCCAGGGGGCCTCTTGTCTTTGCCTCCAAGGAGCTGAGGTTAAATCACTATGCTTTTTTAACATGGAGGGGGGGGGGTGAGCTCAGTCCCTCCTGCTTGTGCCCAGGAGCTGCAGCAACCACTAGCAGCTCATTAGCATATAAAGGGCACTGCCAGGAGTTTAGGACAAAGCCCCTGTGCACTGTTGCCCAAAAGCACAAGCCAGATACCAATTTTGTCAGATTCAAAACACAAATAAGACTGTAGAAGGAAGCACCAAAGAGAAATTTAATGAGATACTTGCACCTTAAAAAGACCTACAGGTGGGTCTTACAACGCTTAATACCATACACAAAAAATTGTTTTGGATTTCAACATGAGAGCTGGCTCCAGGATGATAATTAGATTGTTTGGATCACCAAATGTGGGGGTCATGGAACACCTGGGATATTCAAGTCTTAGTTTTGAAAACAACAGCCACTGGGCTACCCTGATCTCTACCTTTTAATTACAGGGCCCTGTAGTTCTTCAGTGGACCACAGATGCATATAAAGGACTTTAGTCAACGTAAACACTGCATTGTGGGCTGAGGAGCCCTGAAAGCCTCTGAGTGACTGGTAGGTGCTGTGACGGGTAGACTTCCCGCCAAAGGCCCATAATGCGGGCCCCTGCTTTACTGCAACGTCCCAGATTTCATGTCATCAGAGTAAACATTTCCATAGGTCTTAAGCAGTCTGGCCGAGTGGCGCTCTGCAGACATGAAATACAAAGCTAAACCCCGAGCGTGTGTTTATCTCCTGCAGAATGAATCATCTGCCCTTCCTCAGTGGAAAGGGATCGGTGTCGTCACACAAGTGAATCACTGGTCTCCTTGTGGGGTGGAGGCGCATCAAAGACTGAACATGGATCCTATCTGCTGCCAGGCTGGATATACCGCAGCACAGCGACCGTAAGTAGCTGTCCATTGGGAGGTCAGTTCATGATCCTCATCTCTGCGGCAGAGGTCATTTTGCTCATTGTCACTCAAGGGATAACAAATGTTGGGTGCTATTTGTTTTTAGCTTCTCTTCCTTGTAGGCGTCTTCTGGCGAACAGAAACAGCTTCACACTTTGTGTTCAGCTTTATGTGCTGTAGTTAATTTTCCTGTCGGTGTAACCAAAAAAAAAAAAAAAAAAAAAAACCTGACAAAGGCAACTTCAGGGAGAAAACATTTGTTCTGGCTTAGAGTCTGCAGTCTGCAGGGATACCTCCCGGCATGGCAGAGACGGCATGGCAGCAGGTGGAGGGGCCAGGTGGCTACATTACATCCACAGGCAGGAAGAAGGGAGCAAAGATGCTGGTTCTCCACCAGGTTTCTTTTTATGCAGTCCAGGACCCAATCCCAGGGAATAGTGAAGCCCACCATTGGGGTGGGTCTTTGCATCTCAATTCTACTAATCTAAAGCTTATAAGCATCGCTTGTAGACACATCTGGAGGTTTTTCTCATTAGTAGTTCTGGATCCTCTCACGTTGACAATAATATTAGCCATCAATCACAGCCCCTGTCCCAGGACCCCTTGTCCCCTGCATTTTACTCTTCCTTCTCTTAGCTCTTGGCATCCAACCTTGCCACTCACTGTTTCCCATGAGCTAGGTTGCTTTCCAACTGTGGTCACTTCTCCCACACAGAAAGCAGACCCCACAAAGCAGGAGACTGTGCACACTGCTCAAAGTCTTGCCTACGGGAAGATATTCTTTTTCTTCTCTTCCAGCTCTCAAGACCACTCTGAGGCAGGCAGTAGTGGAGTTGCATCTACTGTCTGTCACATATCAAGCTGATTTATTTATGAACTATGCTTGCTTTTGTCCTAGCTCCCGGAACTAGCTGTAATGCTATTCCCTGTACACCCACACCGAGATGAAGGAGGGAAAGTGGTGGGTGATATTCGGGTCAGAGTCACCTGTTAACTGTCACCAGACCCGCTTGCTTGCATCTTCTTGTCCTGGTGTTGTACCTTCTGGGGGTAGATTCCTCCTGACTACAGGTCGAAGTCAATGTCCTCCTGACTCACTCAAATGAACAATTCAATTTATGATGAGCAGTTCTGGCTGAAATAACTTCGTATATGATGAATGGTTCTGGAGAACCAGTGCTCCATGCTCAGACACTCTATCAGGGCTTCGAACTGTTATAGAAGTATTTTCAACAAAGGTTAAAACATTTCATGGTGGCTCAGACAGCCTTGATACACAGTCCTAGAGATCTGCATTTGATTGTGTGGATCTTGTCATAAGCATCGTTTCCCATAACTGTAGTGCTGTAGGTTCTGGAAGGAACCCAAGTCCCAGCATGATTTGCACTACTATCTTTTGTGTTTAGACCCCACACTAAGTAAGTGGTCTTTCATTCACAAAACACACAGACTAGAACTCGGGAATACGGCTCAGTTGGTTAACAGCTTGGTTAGCGTGTGTGAGTTAATCTCCCAGCCCCACATAAAACCAGGCATAGTGGTACACACTTATTCATCCTAGAACTCCGGAGGGAGAGGTGGGAGGATTAAAATTCCAAGGTCATCCTAAGGTACGTTGCAAGTTCAAGACCAGTCTGATGCATGAAACCCTGACCAAACCAAAATAAAACAAGCCAGTCCTTGACTCGAACACTGTTCTCAGGGGTGGATACACTGACCCCATGAATGGAACAGACCCACCAGGCATTTTGCTTCCCTCTTCATGGTTCAAGCTGCAATCGTTCCTTGGATTGGTGATCATCCCCTCACCACTTAATCCCTGAAAATTACCAGTGTTATAGTCTCCTAAATCACGATAGGCCTATCTTCCCTACACTAGAGGGCACACATATGGTCAGGTTTCGCTTATGCATAACTGTCATGAAATTAGTGACGTAGTGATATTCGAAAGGCAGGTCCATATCTCTCTAGAATATGTTGTGACAAAAAGCGGGGACTCAGCAGAGCCCTGGAGAAACCCCTGGTCCTGCCATTTGTTCTCTGAGAGCGGAAACTGTTCTGACAGGGCTTTGTTAAAGGCGTAGAAAACAATGCATTCGCCAAGTCCTCAGGGAAACATCATAAACTCAAACCATGTAAACCTCCTCCAGCAAGATCGCCACATCTGCCACCTCAGCTTCAAGTTAGAACTATGGCTTGGTTGAATGCGTACTGGCTTACTGGGTTTCTGGGGCTCCGCGGGCTTTTGATGAGGCCAGACTGGAGAATCAAGTGTAGCTATAACCTTGAGACAGCACATTTCTCTCATCCTCTTGGGATTCAAGATTGACTTTGACTCACCATTTAGGGGGCAATTTCAGAGATTTCTATTTGCCTTCCTCATAATGATAACCCTTATCCCACATGCTAATATGAGGTTGCACCAACCACCAAGTATATCTTTCCTAAAATTACACGTTCAGGGACAGAGGAAATGACTATGGAGCCTGTAGGCCCATTTCCTGGACCTGGGCCCACACTCTGTTTATGACTTCCTCTATGGCTATGGCCTGAATGTTTGTGCGCCTCCATAGCTCATCTGTTGAAACCTAAACCTCAAAATGGTAACACTAAGATATAGGGCCTTCGAGAGGTGATAGGTCATGGGACAAAGCCCTCCTGATGGAATTAGTGACCAAAGAAGAGTAAGAAAGCTTGTTTGTCCTTCTGTCATATGAGAACTTAAGCGTGCGCCACCACCGCCCGGCTCAGTACTTTAATCTTAATCTTGACTTTTCAGCCTCCAGAACTGTAATAACATTGTTGTTGTTTTTGCCGCCCAGAACATTTGTGTGTGTGTGTGTGTGTGTGTGTGTGTGTGTAAGACATGTGTGCATAAATGCCCCAATACCTGTATCTTTTTAATATTTGCATTATTTAAAACAGCTTTTAAATTTACATATATTTTGATCATATTCTTCTCCTCCCCCAAGTTCTTCAATATCCTCTCCCTCTCCCTACCCACCCAACTTTATTTCTCAAAAGACAAACACAAACCTAATACAGCAAAACTTCCCCAAAGCAAGAACACACAAACAAACCCCCAAATGCAACCACACAAAATCACACAAGGATACTGCGGCGTCCACTATAGGTTGTTCATTTACTCCTGAGCATGAGGCCAGTGTCACTCCGTTGAAGAAAACTGAGTTCCCTCTCCCAGCAGGTATACATGATAGTTGAGTTGTTAACTTTTACCTCGGTGACAAGGTTTTTAGTCATTCGTTCAATTTTTAATATAACAAAATAAAACACAATAAGATAAAACAATAAGATATCACATCAAAATTGAAGAAGACAAAGCAACAGAAGGAAAAGAGCCCGGGTACAGGCACAAGGATCAGAGCCCACTCAGGAATTGCATAAAAACAATAAACTATGAACCCTAATATAAGCACAGGGGACCTGGTGCAGACGCACGCAGGCCCTGTTCATGCTGCTTCTGTCTCTGTGAGTTCATATGAGCTTTGCTTCTGCTGATTTAGAGGGCCTTTTTTCCCTTGGTGTCCTCCATCCCCTAATACAGTAGAAACTTCCTAAAATCTATGCATATAAGAAAGTTATCTAAATAACATTGCCAAAGGGAGACAGAGACCCATCTCACCATCTCTTGTCACCAAATGAAGCTTCCAGGACCGGAATTGAGTTATATCTAACACCTGTACATTCTTGGTACAGTGATGAGTACCATAGAGATATCTGGGGACTCAGACACTGAATCTAACAAATCTCAAAATCTGAGGCATTCCCCTTTGCCTGGTGTAAAACCACCCAATTAAATGTCAATAGGCTCTCTGGGGAGACACTTCTGGAATCTTCACCAGGCACATGCACTGAGGTTTCGCAGATTCCTTCTCTTCGCCTTCATTTTAAAGATCCAAGACCTCAAAACTGACTCAGGTTTGGAAACTGAGTGACATCATAATTTCTTGCAGGGGTAACTTGGTTTAGCTCCCAGCCATACACTGTTGGTTCTGATAGCACATGTAGGATTGAGCTCTTGTTTGATACCCGTCTGTGCTGCTCCTTTGTGATGAATGATTTTGTATGTCAGTTGGGTGTATTTCGTCAAACATGGTTGTTTCTATAAAGGTATTGTAGGCTGAGTTTAGCATCAAAATCAGTGAACCAAACTGAAGACATTTTTCTTTCATAATGTGGATAGGCCTTATCAAATAGAAAGCCTAAAAAGAGCCAAGACTGCCCTCTCCAAATCAAAAAGGAATTCTGCAGCAGACTGGCTACGTACTCAAACACTCAAATGTTTATCTCTTCAGCTTGCTAAATTAACCGGTAGATTCCAGACTTAGGAGCATGAGATGACATTCCTAAAAGGAAATATTTTTTCTGTTCCTATATACATCCTTTAGATTCTGCTTCTTGAGGGTTCCCTAACTCCCTCCTGTTCTACTGGCTACCTCTGTAACCTCTTGAGAGGTTGTCCCTTAGCCACTGGCCAAGGTCACACTCATTACAACAATTACATCCACTGTTATTATGTGACTTTTGAGGGTGACATGCTACCATCTCAGCAGTATTATTTGGGGAGCAGGCAACCTCTTTGTTGTTAGTGAATCTGGTTCTTCACTGGCCTCCTTCACCCTCAGGCTTGGCCAGGGATCAACCATTGTGAAATCTCTTAATGACAGGGTACCCATCAAAATCATGTATTCCTCCTGGATTTGGTAAAGGTTTATGTTAGTCTGTTTGGGCTGTTCTAACAGCCATCAGCTAGGCAGGTTACAGACATTTATTTTTTATTCTGGACTTCCAAGATCAAGACAGGCAGACTCTGTTTAGTGAAAGACATTCCTTAGATGTTTTTACTGAGTCCCCGCATGGAGAAAGATGTGAACAAGTTCCCTGTCTTCGTGAGGGTTTCTGTTGCTCTGCAGAGACACCATGAGCATAGTAACTCTTAGAAAGGGCAACATTTCATTGGGATTGGTTTACAG